TATTGTTCTTTTATCGCTTCTTGATTGGAAAGATCGCAAATCAAACAAATGCCAAAACCGTCATATTAAAATATGTTGACTATTATCTATTCATCTATTGTGAAAGAGTTGTTTTTTATATGCATATATATTTAATTGAACCTTTTTATCTAAAAAAGTACTAAAATTTGCAAATAAAAATGTCATAGTAAGAAAGCAGTGTTCTTTGAAATAAGATTTGATTAAACCTTTTTATTAAAATAATAATAGTGCTTAGAAAACGCAAAAATGGCAAACACTTTTGATCTATTCGACAACTGTCTTGCTATAGTATTCTGTAAAAGCCTTTTAATCCTTTATAAAAGTTTAAGTCTTATATATACATGGGTGTCCCAAAATTCGCAAATTACTACTAAAAAGCTTTTACAGAAAATTTTAAAAAATGGATACTAGTAAAATTAATTTAGCATTCATTCAATTTATTCGTAATCAGCAAATTTTTCTCGTACGAAATTAAATTTTTTATTTCGGACATCAGGGATGATATGTATTTCAAAAGTGTTCATTTCAAACTAATCCTTCATATAAATTATATTGTTAATTATTTTTTCGAAACAACGGCAAATTAAAAAGTTAGAACTCTTGAAATCAGAATGCAAATAACTTTTCTTGTTATATTCCTATCAGTTTAAGATATACATGAGTTTTTAACATTTCCCCTCTTCTTTCTGCTACTTCCTGATATTTCCCGCTATATCGCAGAACAATTAATTATTTCTATAGAAAATGTAGAAATATATGATATCGACATTGCATATCAAAAATAAATATAGCACGAAAATTTAACCCGCCTGACAGAGATTCCATATACAATTCTAATTTTACCGTGGAAATATTAGTTCTCCCACTCGAGAGAATTTTAAATTTGGTAGAAAGCTTTTTTATCAGATATTTGTACTCTTCACATGACGCCTTTGGAAGTTTCATCGATATGTAATATCACGTAGATCGCAATCCATATTCGCATACGATGCACACTATCTGTAATCCCTATACTAATTTAATGTACGCAGTGACCCCGATGAGAGTGGGGTGCAGAGAATATACAAACGCAGCATCTATGCAGCGGGTACAGCCGAACTCGTTTGGTATAAAATCTACTGTCCCGAAGCCAGCAAAGCATGCAGTCGTTTAACGAATACCATCTCGGTATCTACCAGCAGCGATGATCGTCTGGTTTTACAAAGTAATACTCTGCATCCTGTTACTTATCGTTGCGTCGCTTATCATTAGTCGCTTGAAGCTGCGCTTGTACTTTTCGCAGCAACGGTGTAATGTTTACGTGCTGATTTCTCCCGTAAGCTCACACTAAATGCGAAGCCATCGATAAGTCAAGAAACTAATAAAAAAAATTAACTTTTGCGATTCTCTTGTCTTTGCAACAATTCTTTGGACTTCTAAAATGTTCGATGATAGAGGAATATTATGCGATAGGTTTCTAATGTGAGACAGCAGGTTTTCAACACCCAAATTCAATGACAAATCTTTTTTTGCAACGATTACACAATCTAACAATGAATTTTCCGCCAAGCAGATTTTGCTCCAAGCGTAATACATTCATGGTGGAATCAACTGATGATGTCTACTAATTTAACAGAAACCCCGCTATCCCATATTCGGATTCTATCTGATAATAGGGGACTTTCCTCTAATATTCAGAATGAGATTTTGTACGACTTTGCACTATGCATAGCGTAACACTGTTTTACAATGTCTAAGTTAGCGAAATTGACTGAATATTTTCTTAATTAGAAATACTTTAATCGAAAATGTGCAATTAATTTATTAATTAGTATCTTCTTATTAACTGTTAATTTGTTATCATGCGACATGGCAAAAAGAATGGAGACTAGAGACGAATTATACTAGAAATTGTGTTGCGAGCAATTCTGCCAATTGAATTAATTAGAAACGAAGTCGTCTTTAATTATCAATTCGGTGATATTTGATATTTCCTTCCTAATGCGCAGATTATCAGCTATTTTGCCGCCTTATTGACGTCGCGCCGGGGTCGGTGGTTTGGGTGCAACTGCAGTGGCCGTCGCGCCAACAGCCAGCTGCAACGATTATCAGCGAAAACTGCGATTCTCCTCGGTATAGCCTTTGGATATAGCGTGGCAGATGGTCTCACTGGTGCGTTTCTGCAATATAATTCGCGTCCCGCAGGGATGACTGATCCGCACAGTCATCTGGGCTTAGCAAACTCAACTCAATACACGGTGGATAGTCACGTATATTTACGTACATC